TTACACTCAAATAGATAAAGTGGCCTTGGCCATAGTGGCAGGGATCAAGAAGCTTCATGACTACTGTATGGCAGGCCTTTCATGGTCTTCACAGACCACAAGCCACTCCTGGGGTTGTTCACAACGAACAAGCAAACACCCCAGATCATATCTCCTAGGATGTTGAGGTGGTCAATATTTCTGTCAGCATACAATTTCAATTTGATTCATAAACCAGGTAGGGAAATGGGCCACACAGACAGCCTTAGCAGACTGCCATTGCCGCATTTAGAGTCTGACTCCGCTCCAGCCACGCACATCCTGGCTATCCAGGATCTGCCTGAGTCTCCCCTTAACACAGGGGATGTGGCTGCGGAGACAGCATCTGACACGATGCTAAGCCACGTGTTAAACTGGGTGGTCACAGGATGGCCAGAAACTAGTCCAAGGCCTAACTTCCAGAGTTTTAGTAGGAGAAAGAACGAGTTGTCAGCTCACAGGGGGTGCGTCTTGTGGGGTAGTCGGGTTGTAGTCCCAAACTCACTGAAGACTAGAGTCCTGGAGTCTCTGCATGAGGGACATCCGGGAATAGTCTGGATGAAGGCACTCACACAAAGCTACCTTTGGTGGCCTGGGCTGGACAAAGATATTGAGGCTCAGGTACACAGCTGCCACATTTGCCAGCAATCTAGGCCAGAGATTCCCCATGCCCCAGTCCATAGATGGGAAACCACATACGCCCCCTGGTCCAGGATTCACATCGATTATGCAGGGCCTTTCCAGGGACAACTCTTCCTCATTGTGGTGGACAGTCACTCCAAGTGGTTAAAGGTCGCACCTGTCCCAACCATGACTGCTGCCAGGACCATGCAGGAGCTGCGCAGAATCTTTGCCACACACGGGTTACCTGACGTGTTTGTCTCAGACAATGGGGCTCAATTTACTGCTTCAGAATTTCAGTCTTTTTTAAGGGCAAATACGATCAGACACGCCACATCAGCCCCTTTCCACCCGTCTTCGAACGGCCAAGCGGAGCGCATGGTCCGAACAACAAAGGAGTCCTTAAAGTGGATAGTCACAGGTAACTGGCAATACAGACTGGCAGATTTCCTACTCTGCCAACACACAACCCATGCAACACAGAAGCCCAGCAGAATTAAGATGGGGCCGGCGCTTGATCACAAAGCTGGATCGCCTACATCCAGATAGAGTTGCTTCACAAGCAACACAGCCAAAGGCACCATGGCACTTGCAAGTTGGCAACCCGGTCTGGGCGAGGAACTATGAGCAAGGGGCATTGTGGGTGGTAGCTGTGGTTTGTAAGGTGACTGGACCACTTTTGTACGAAGTGATCCTGGAAGATGGTCGCATGCTACGCAGGCACTTCGACCAACTGCGGCAGAGGTTGGCAAACCAGCCAGTAACTCATGACTCTAGTGACAGTCAAACTCAGGAGCAGCACAAGTGCAATAGTGCATCAGATTCTACCAGTGAGGGCGGAGCTCTCAGACTAAGGGACGAAACTCAAGCATCTGGTGAGTCAGTCCCAACCACTGATATCACAACCAATGGACAATGCCCAGGACTGGTGGACTCTGTTCCACCTATGGACACTGGCTCGGGCCTACCAGGACAGCCCAGCCACAGAGACTCGAGTCTACCAGTGATGGATGGGTCCCATAGCGCTGGTCTTCCAAGCCTGGCAGGCAAGCTGACAGACCAGGGGCCTCCAAAAGTTTCGAGTATTTGGAATTGTTGAAAAAACAGTCATAAGACTCTGTCAGTTAAGAGCCAGACTTGCTATCTACATGCTAATTAAAGCAGGAACTAATATTTGAATCCTATTGGCTGCCACTAGTTGTTGAGTGTATAAATAGGGATGGAGCTGCAGTTATCCAGGCTTCTGTTTAAACCTGCAATAAAGAATTGATTGTTCACCTGCTGCCTCGTTGATGCCTCACCAATCACCAAACATAACAACATGTACCCCCTCTCCGTAATGAAAGACATGCTGGGATACCTGTCCAAAGGGAAGGTGTTCACTAAACTGGATTTGAGAGAAGTGTACTAACAAGTGAGGATCGGGGAGGGGGATGAATGGAATACAGCTTTTAATTCCCCCTTAGGATTCTGGGTGATGCCCTTTGGATTACAGGGAGTGCCTGCTATGTTCATGCAACTGATTAATGAATGTATATGTTGTGATTAATGAAGTGCTGCATGAGCACTTGTAAAAGAGGATGCTGGGGCACTTGGATCACATTTTTATCTACTCTGAGACAATGGAAGATCATGAGAAGCTAGTGAGAGAAATGCTGAGGAAACTATTGAAAGCTAAGCTTTACACCAAACTATCCAAATGTGACTTCCATAAAACTAGTCTGGATTACTTAGGGTATCACGTGTCTAGCAAGGGAGTGGAAATGGATCCTGGAAAGGTGAAAAGTATTATTAGAGTGGGAAGCTCCACGAACCAGGAGGCAACTGCAGAAAAAAAATGTGAACTCTATTTTTTTTTTAAATGTGTTCTCTGTGTTTTACATATATGGGTTATGCATTTGTACAGTATCCAGTACGACATCTTCCAGAGGTGGACATTTGCCTGAATGTCAGTTGCACGCCTTGGGAGCGAAGCGGTGATTATCATTATCATTATCGGGTTGCCACAAAGCACCTGAAAGCAGGAGAAGAAACAATGGATGAAAATTATCAAAGAGAGAAGCAACCTAGAACTAAGGAGAAATTTCCTGACAGTTAGAGCAATTAATCAGTGGAACAATCTGCCTCCAGAAGTTGTGAATGCTTCAATACTGGAAGTTTTTAAGAAGAGACTGGACAATCTCATTTTTTAAAATCAATTACAGCAGTAACTCATTGGAGATTTTTTCTAACAGATACAGTACTTTAACTTTGTTTTGGATTTCAGTGTATTTTCAGGGGACTCAGTTCTTCACCCATCCCCAATATTCCTGTCTCTTGCCTTCATGAAGACATTTTGCCAATGCACAAAAAAATGTTCAGTATTTCCTGTGACTCCTTTGCTTTGGCAAAGATTGCTAGGAACCTTTGAATATCTTGTTGTCACAAAACAATTGTCACTGCATCTCTGGCTCAAGCGGAATAGTCTATACATCCCTAATGTATATGTTATGTTTCCAGTTCGGTGAGGCATTGACGAGGTGAATGGTGCAAACAACAACTCTTTATTCAGCTAACCACAGAAGCAGCCCTAACTGCTGCTTAACCACTATTTATACAGCTCACCACTAGGCGGCAGCCAATAGAATTAAAGCAATATTTCCCTCTTAAAGATAAGCTGATTAACATGTAGTCAGTCAGTCTGGAGCTTAAACAGATGCAGTTTCCAAGTAAATTAACCTCAATACATAACAGTATATTTAATTGCTATTGAATAATTCAGTTCCTTTATATTACTCCTTTTCATGCTTATGACCTGAACTCTTGCAAAGATATAGAGTAAGTTAATTACATTCTTGGTATACTGTAGTGATCATGTCAATCCTGTTTTGCCATGATCTACAGCAATTGCAAGAGAAATATACTGAACCTGCCAAAAGCATCTGATTTTTTGGAACTGTTTACTATGATATATAAAAGGCATTGCTAATCTTTAACAATGTCTTTTTGCCTCCAAAAAGAGTTTATTTAGTAACTTTCTCCATAACCCATGCTACAATAGAGAGTGTTCCCATTTTCTACTGCTTATGTCTAAATATTTTGAGTTATTAGCAGTTTGCTTGTTACATCCACTGTCAATAAATTTCCCTTCTCAATAGTGGTTATGTCAACTGACAAAGTGAGTGAATTCACTGTGTGCTTGGAAATTTGTTGTGCTAGTTACACATCAGGAAACATTGCTTTTTTGTTTGATTTTTCCTATTAACAGTGAATTTGTTAATGTCTTTTCTTTTTTCTTTTGCATATGCTTGACTTTCTTTGAATGCTCACCTTTCAGTTATGTTTTTATCTTCAGAAGTACCACCATCCTTTTAGAAACTCTCATATTTTTTTCATAGTAGACAGAAAATCAAAGGACCCCTGATGTAACGCCAATTATTCTTGAGATCCATGACAAGATTAAGACAACAATATAAGAGAGCACAACATCCTTGGCTATATTTGTGATACATTTAAACTTTTGTTCAAGACTGCTTTGGCATGACTTCTCTGTGAACAACTCTACTTTCACCAGCTAAACACCTTATTAGAACATAGAACATAGAATAATAAAAGAGACCTTGGAAGTCTTCTAGTCCAACTATAAAGTGTAAATTACAGAAATTACAATGAAAAATTGTTCTTTGACCTATAACAATAGTTCTTTGGGTAGTAATGTGTGAATCACATAATCCAAACTTTGTCGTTACTAAAATGCCTATTTTATTAAATTGTCATTAAAAGCATCTAGTGGATCATAGAACATATGAGAATAGTGGGAATTGCATTTAAGCATGCATACTTATATATAGGAGTGGAATTCCTATCTAAAAACAAGGCACCAGCCTTGAAAACAAGAGATCATGAGTTCAAGTTTTGCCTTAGCCATGAAAGCCAGTTGGGTGACCTTGGGCCGGTCAGCGCAACGCACCTTATAGGTTGTTGTATGGAAAATAGGAGGTAGAAGGAGTGTTGGATATGTTTACCACCTTGAGTTATTTGTAAAAATAATAAAGGGATATTTTAAAAAAACAAGATCTTAGTTCGGGAAGATACTGAATAGGATACTGTAAAGATTTGCACATGGCTGCTTAAAAATTACATACTGTATTAGAATCCTGCAATATATGTTCTATTATTTGTTTATATTTAATATTTTATGTATTAAGCTTCTAAACTATTTTTAGCTTTAAAACTAGATCTTACAAGTTGACTGAAAAAAATTATTTTTGTATCATAATAATATTGAGTCTCAAAATTGTTAAGCTTACTATATTTAACTGTATCAAGCTAACCATATTTAATAAGTGACAAGCATATTTGTATTTATCTCGTTTCCACAGATGTATGTGAGGAAAACAGTAATAGCAAGCCTGCCTATATCCTTTCATATTCCTGTAAGAATAATGACAAACGTAGGCATCAAGCCGAAAGAAAGCATCAAACTGTATCTTCTACTTTAGGCAGGGATAGCAAGCCTCCTACAACAGCTGATATGTTTATGCACATCAGCAATAAAAGGCATAATTCAAACACTAAATCTCCCAACTCTGGGGAAAAATCAGACCATCCAAACTGGTCTGTAAGGAATAATATAAACCATTCTGAAAAAATAACAGTTTCTATTCAGGATGATAGAAATAATAGAAGTATCAGAAACTTGGGTCAATGTAATATAGCATTTAAAAATAACCCACAACAATTAAAAACAAAAAGTAAAGAATTAAACAATAAAAAATGGTCCTGGGCTAACTTGAGCAGGCCTGGCAATATCTCAGTAAGAACAATGAAAGTTGAAAAGGCTACTTCAAATGCTACAGTTACACAGATCAACAAAATGAAAAATAGTGACATCTGTTTGATGGACAAGAATGCAAGTATTACAATGATTGCACTCAACAAGATGGCTAGAGGTGATGCAAACCTGAACAGAGAAGTTCTATTAACATCCAGGAATTCAGAAGATCAGCCAGGTTTTGTTCAGATGCAAGTAATAGAAAAAGAAAGAGTAAGAAAAGAGCTCTTTCAGAGGAAGTATAATGCAGCAAATGTTATTCAAAAGGCTTGGAGAAGGTATGGATGTGGGTAAATTGCTCTATTTTATCTCATTTTAATTACTATTAAAGATTTCATCATGAAGCTTAGCATATATTTAAAATTGTGTTTTGGTATACTTTGAGCAATGTGATGTCAAGTATATATGTAATGCATCAAGTGAATTGGAAGGGATGTAAACAGGTGGAGTAGCTATTGTGTTGTATTTTGCTGATTTACTTAGTGTTTCTCAACCTGATTTAAATCATCAGTCCCAGAATTCAGGAAGTGGTGATTCAAATAAGCACAGATGATAGAACATTGGAAATTGCTTTATTTTTTAACTTGTCATCCTTTTGTTCCCCATGTTAACTTTTCACAATTTCAGATATGTTAAACAGTTTTGAAGTATAAGAATATTAGATATAGTAATGTGGAAATAAGAAATAATGCAGTGAGCAGTCTTTTTAGCTGAAGGAACAATCATTCTCATGAAGAAAGGACACACATATTTGTTAGAACTGTCCAAAAGCAGAATATCCAAGGGCCAATGAATGGTTCAGAGAAAGGCAAGAAAGTGAATGAGATTTCACTTATACTCCTGAAATAAAGAATTTGACATTATATGAAGAATTTTGTCTCTATCAAGCTTTGGGCTTAGTAATGAGGATATATTTACAGATGAAATTATTATCCTCATATTAAGGAACAGATTTATTATTCATTTTTAAATGTCTTTATATTCTAAAAATAACGGTGTAAAAGTATAGAGTTTCTGTAAGTTATATGTGTTTTATAAGTTTAATGTTGTATGGATTTATTATTTCTCTGCTTTTCATGTCTTTTATATTCTATGTAGACAGTGGTTGTTATAGATCCCTGAGTTTTTTATATTTGTTTACTGCTTTTTAAAAACATTGAAAATGGGGGGGGGGGGGTTTAATCCAATTAAGAGAAAATGTTATTATTGCAAACATTGAAAAAGAAATGGTTAATAGAAAAATCTGGAGTTAAAAAGTGATAAGCTAAAATGGAATTTCTCGCCTGGTTTTCTCTTTCTAGCTATCAGCTAAGAGAACAATTCCATCAGCATTTTAGCATGAAGCAGCAATGCAAAGATGAATGGCAACAAAAAACAGTTGTCTTGTGCATTAAGGCCATTTGGAACAAAAAGTTAAACTTTACTGCACTAAAAATACTTACTTCAGGCAAAATCCCAAAGGCCATGAAAAAAAATAGCTCAGGAAACAACTTGGTACAGAAGTCAACCACTCTGAAGCAGATATATGGTAATAATACACATCACTAAATACTTATTTTGGGAGATTGAAACTTTTTTCAGTCACAGTTCTTTTTTTCTGTCTGTCTGTCTGTCTGTCTGTCTATCTATCTATCATCTATCTATCATCTATCTATCTGTGTTTCCCCAGAAATAAGACCCAGTTTTATATTTTTTTTGCCTCCAAAAGAGGCATTCAGTCTTATTTTCAGGAGATGTCTTTTTCATTGGCTCGCCTTGCAGCGCCAGCACCAACAGCCCCATCCAGAAGGAGGCCATGTGGCTGTCGCTGGCCCACTTCTTTTGTAGCCACTCACTGTCACTCACACGTCTCATCCTTGTCCTCTGTTTTGCTGGCAGAGGCCTTCAGGAAAGGCCTCTGCAGCCCAGAATTGAGCTCAGAGATAACGCATGTGTTGCACCCCATCCTCCATTTCACCGGCAGAGGCCTCTTCCTGAATGCCTCTGCCGGCGAAACAGAGGCCGGGACACAATGAACATGTCATCCCTGAGCTCCATTCTCAGATGCAGAGGCCTTTATTGAAGGCTTCTGCTGGTGAAATGGAGGCCAGGGGTGAGGCACATGAGCGGCAGCAAGCAGCTGCAGAAGAAGTGGGCCAGTGGCGGCTGCACTGGTTCCTTCTGGATGGGGCTGTCAGTGCCACCACTGCGAGGCGAGACAGGTGTTGGGGCATGGGAGGCCTGGCTGTGGAAGTTCTGAGGTAAGCAGGTGCAGGGCACATGGGGCAGCTCCCATTCCCCCCACCCCTTGATTTTTACACCTGCGCCTCATCCCACCTTGTGCAACCAGATAGCCTTAACTAGGGCTTATTTTGGCGGTAGGGCTTATATTAGGTGCAGACGCAAAAATCAAGCTAGGCCTTATTTTTGGGATAGGTCTTATTTTGGGGAAAACATGATGTCTATCTGTTTATCTCTATCTTCTATCTAGCTATCTAGCTATCATCTAGCTATAATCTATGTATCTAAGTATTCTCCTTGAGTTAACAACTCCTGCTAGAATAGCATATAGAAGTCATAGCCAGGAGCGCCTTTGGACAACTTTGGTGGGTCTCTCAGTTTCTTATTCTTTCTTGAATCAAGAGATGCTAAAGCATGACTCAGGCTCTTGTCATGCCTCAGATAGACTACTTCAATAAATGGGGAGGGTGCCATTTATGATTAGTTGGAAATTCTAGTTGGCAAATAATGCAGAAACCCACCTTCTGACTAGCATTAATTTATATTGGTTGCTGATAGATTTCTAGGACCAATTGAAGGTGTTTTATTGGAAGATATCTTCAGGTAGCATTTGTCTATTTTATATGGTCTTGCAGTAATATGCTCAGTGGAAGACCCCTGAAACAGCCACCTCCTGAAGGCAGATATAACTTATGATGTCTTTTGGTAAAATGATGAAAACAGGCATTCATTATTTATCATTATTTTTATTTATTTTATGTTGTCGAATGCTTTTCATTCATTGAGGCATTCGGCATTCATACACTTTGGAAATTTGTTTTATAGGGCACTCACAAGAAGGAAAGGTGAATCACCCAATGAGATTGCCTTCTTCAAAACAGCAATTTTGTGAACTTCAGTTAATATCAGGTACAATTCCAATGTCTGTGATTATTGTCTTTATAAATACAATGTTTATAAACATTAGATGTGAGGCAAAAGATACATGCTATAGCAACATCAGAAAAAAAGCCTATTGTGGTGATTACTTGAGCATGCTAGGAAAAATGGCAAATGGATATTGATGAAATGGCTTCCAGATAAGGCCATGTGAGACCTGTAATATGGGAGGATATTTCACTAATCCTAGTACTAGCTTCTTCAGGGCAGAACTAAAACTAAACACCACATCATATGTCATGCCTTTATATACTGACAGTGTTCATTGAGGCAGAATACCTATAATTACTTTTTTGTTGACTTCTCCCCCTATGCATTTCTTGATCATATAAATAGAATTATCAGCATGAATAAAGAGAATCCCAGTACTGGCACCTACCAATTTAAAATGTCTTTAGATGTTCAAATGGAATAAGATTTCCCCACCATCTTGTGGATTTTCCATTCTTCAGATGCAATAAAAGTTCATGGAGATTTTGGAAAGGGACACAAGTCAGATAGACATATAATTAGGTGTAGATGTGTAAAATAAATTAATTCAGTGGGCTCACTATAGTGCATAGTACCCTACACATTCTGAGATAAACGTTTGGAAAAGTGCCAAAATGAGGTAGTGTTCTTATATTTAACTGGCTGAACTATCCAACTACCCATTTGAGCAGCCTACTTTTTTTCCCAACAGTTTTCATTTTTTTCATATGAAGTATGGCACCACTCAGGTGATACTCATTATCTCTGAAGGCCTCTTCTAGCCTTTTTTTTATGTTGTCAGCTTGAAAAATGCCCAAAGTATATATACCCATACCGATACATAAGACACATATACACATGCTATATACATACACACACACACACACACACACACATATAAGTTTTTGTAGATTTTCATGGGTACAGGTATGCAGGTCTTAGCGTATTCGGGTCTTTTCCTGTGTAAGATTGAGAGTATCTTGGTGACGTTTCGACGAGGTCCCACTCATCATCTTCAGGCTGGAGTCTTCGGCTTCTGTGCAAGCAAAGTGTGATCGGAGCTGCCGTCTCTCTATAAATACTGGTGGGGGTGGGTGGAGTGCTGGCTTAGTTGCTGTAGGTGGATTGGTTGGCTGTGTGGGAGCCATTGTTTGTGGAATGTTTGGCTGTTTTGTAACATCCTTGAGAAGTTGAGGTGCTGGCTGTGTGACCATTAGTCTTTTGTGTTATAACGACCTGGGTAATGAGTTGTGTGAGTACATCCTGAGATCTAGTGTAGTGATATCCTGAGTTTTGTGTTGCAACATCCTGGGTGGTTGGCTGTGTTGTAACATCCTGAGCTTTAGCATTGTAACCTCCTGAGTTCTGTGATGTGATGTCCAGAGCAGAAGGCTGTGATGTAGCATACCGGGCTTTGGTTTGGCTCCGAGTTTGCGGTCTAGCTCTGTGTTCATGGCTTGTGTCCGTTTGCTTTGTGTGGGGGTCGGAGGGAGGTGCAGCAGCTGGTGATGTTGTCGTGGTTTGGCTTCTGGATGGTGGTTGCATTTCGTCTGAGGGATGGGTTTGGGCTTGGGTTTGGGTCTGGTGAGGGTGAATGGTGGTGGCGTACTGTGTTGTTCTGGGTCCAGTGTCAGTTTTTCTTTCCCGTGTGGCCAAATTACAAAAGTGTCATCTACATATCTGAGCCAGAGTTTGGGTTTGTGTTCAGATTTGTCTAAGGCATTGGTTTCGAAGTGTTCCATGTATAGGTTTGCAATGACGGATGAGAGAGGTGATCCCATAGATGCTCCTTCTATCTGTTTGTATCTTTGTCCATTGTGGATGAAGTATGTGTTGGTTAGGCAGTGGTTGGTCAGATCTAGGATGTGCTTTGGGGGGTTGTATTTGTTTTGGATAGCTGTCAAGGCTTCTTTGATAGGCACTTGGGTGAAGAGGGATGTGACATCGAAGCTCACGAGTAGGTCGCTGGGTTGTAGGTTTTGTTTCTTTATTGTTTCTATGAAGTGGAGTGAGTTTTGTACGTATGAGGAGATGGATTCTGTGTAGGGCTGAAGTTGTTTGGCGAGAAATTTGGCAAGATTCTGTAGAGGTGAGCCTATGGAGCTGACTTGGGGAGGCCATAGAGCTTGGGGCATCTGGATGATTTCTCTCTGGGGATGATTCTTTGCTGGATCTCTTCACTGATGGGAAAGGCTACCTGGAAAAAACCACTAAATCCAAAATAAAAGCCTTTTATTTACAGTACAACGACATCGCCCTCCTCCCCTACATCAAAGGCACCACAGATAAAATCAGCAAAATTCTCCACAAACACAATATCAAGACAGCCTTCGGCACCGACCAAAAAATAGTCAACATCTTAAGAAACCCCAAAGACAGGATCCAGCTAGAAAACAAGGAGTCTATGAAATACCATGCAAAATCTGCCCAGCTACATACATTGGACAAATAGGAGAATAAATGCCCGCATCGCAGAACACAAGAACGCAGTCAGAAAAGAAGAAAAAACTTCCTCTCTCTTCCAGCACCTTAAAGCTACAGGACATGAAATTGATTTTGAAGGAACCAAACTAATCTCCAAAACTGAACACCACAACAAGAGAATAATTATGGAAGCCATCGAAATAGAAAAACACCCCCACAACATGAATAAACGTGACGATACCTCCCGCCTACCAGATATCTGGAAACTAGCCCTAATCAACAAACGGGTCCTAGCCACGAAAACTGACACTGGACCCAGAACAACACAGTACGCCACCACCATTCACCCTCACCAGACCCAAACCCAAGCCCAAACCCATCCCTCAGATGAAATGCAACCACCATCCAGAAGCCAAACCACGACAACATCACCAGCTGCTTCACCTCCCTCCGACCCCCACACAAAGCAAACGGACACACGCCATGAACACAGAGCTAGACGCAAACTCGGAGCCAAACCAAAGCCGGTATGCTACATCACAGCCTTCTGCTCTGGACATCACATCACAGAACTCAGGAGGTTACAATGCTAAAGCTCAGGATGTTACAACACAGCCAACCACCCAGGATGTTGCAACACAAAACTCAGGATATCACTACACTAGATCTCAGGATGTAATCACACAACCCATTACCCAGGTCGTTATAACACAAAAGACTAATGGTCACACAGCCAGCACCTCAACTACTCAGGATGTTACAAAACAGCCAAACATTCCACAAACAATGGCTCCCACACAGTCAACCAATCCACCTACAGCAACTAAGCCAGCACTCCACCCACCCCCACCAGTATTTATAGAGAGACGGCAGCTCCGATCACACTTTGCTCACACAGAAGCCGAAGACTCCAGCCTGAAGCCGAAGACTCCGTCCTGAAGATGACGAGTGGGACCTCATCGAAACGTCGCCAAGATACTCTCAATCTTACACCCTGTGCCCCCACCAAAGAGATTGGCTGGCAGAGTTTGTCAATTGCGAGGGGGCTGCGGGAGTGTCAAGGCACAAACCCTATGCAGTGCCAGGCTTGGAGTTTTTTTTGAACGTGGCATAAAATCAGGAGGTGGGGCTGGCTGGCTGGCTGGGAAAACTCCCCCTTTTTGCCTGTTTCCCCTTCTGCCTTCCCAGGAGGAAAACAGCATCTCCCCCTCCCCAAATTCTCTTTCCAAACCAGCTGCTGGCGAGAGTCGAGGTGATGCGACACCTACCTGACTTGTCTCCTGCTGGCGCCCTCCCCGCCAACTCCAATGCCGCTACTTCAGTCTGGGATTGGGGATTGGCCTTCCACTGCCTGCCTGCACTCTTCTGCTGCAGATGCTTCAGCTCTGCTTGCCTGGCAGGGGATGCACATGGGGCTGCTGCTATGCTTGCCATGCCAGGGCTAGGCTGGACTGGGCTGGGCACGGACCCTACTCGCCGCTTCTTCCCCCGCAGACATTGGGAGCACCCACCCATCTATCCCTCATCCGGGGGCAGCTGCCTCTGTCCGGCACTCTCCAGCCTGTTGCCGGCCAGCCGGGCATGCTGGGATGCCTCCCTTCAGGTTCCCTCTGCCTCTCCCCCCTCCAGGCTGGGGCTGGTCAGATTCCCTCCATGGGCAGCACTGTGCCTGTCCCTGGCCAGCTCTCCTCCATCCTCCTCCTCTTTCTGCGGGCAGACCGGGGCTTACTGAGCCAGGTGGCACCTCTCCCCACACGCGTCCTCAGGTGGAGGAGCCAAGCAGCCGTGGCTCTAGCTCCCCTCCGGCCTCCATCTGCTCGAGGCCTGAGCTTGGCATGCATGGCTGGTCGGTGACGTGCTGGAGAGCGTGAGATGGCGGCAGTTGCCCTGGGACGAGGGGTAGGTGGGGTGGGCACTCCCGATATCCGCAGGGGAAGAAGCAACATGGAGGCTCCACGCCCAGTCCAACCCAGCCCTGGCACGGCACAGAAAACAAGGCAGCAGCCCCACGTGCGTCATACCCAACTCTCGCAGAGCACTCTTCTCTCGCTGCCCCAACCCAGTTCCTTACTTCCGCCTGGCTAGTTCTGTGGCCTCATGGCAGTGGCATTGAGCAGGAAGTGGCAAACAGGGCTTGCTGAGGATTGAGCCGTGTTTCCTCGGAGCCGGCGATCAGCAAGGCCCTGTCACGGGAGGACTCGGGGTGCCGGGGTCCAGCCCTATAAAGCCCACCTTCTTCTCGCCCGAGCTGCGTATTTATACACCCCTGTTGCCTGACTTCTGCAGCGGCGGCAGCACGGAGGCCAATCACAGGGGCAAGCGGGACAGCCACGCAGGGTAGAGGCACTGCCCGGGGATGGAGCAGAGCCAGGCGGGACTGCAGGGTGCTGGCAGCAGCAGCGGCATGGAGGTCGATTGTAGGCACGAGCGGCAGGGCAGAGGCACAGCCCAGGGACGGAGCGGAGCTGGGTGGGACTGCGGGGTGCTGCCAGCGCTGGCACAGAAACCGATTACAGGCACAAGCAGGACAGTCACGCAGGGCCGGGGCTGGAGCAGGACAGCAGCATGGCAGTGGC